CGGACCCTGAGCTCTTGGAAATGCAGTTTCCGTGAAATGCAGTAACGAAGAGCTGTCATCGGACAACCGACACACACACACATCTGTCTGTGGTGCAGCAGGGTCTGCCCTGCCTGCGGGGTCCCCTGCGGTTCATCCCCACAGTGATGCCAGAGGAAGCCTGTGGCTCTTTTCTGTAGTCGGGGGTGTCAGAGACAGACCGAGTACAACCGTGTCAGTAAGCCCTTTAGTCCACTCCTTCAAGCCTTACTGAAAACCATTCCTTTCCACCGTTTTCCACAAGCTTTTCTAAACATACGAGGCGGGCAGGGGTGACAGCAGCAGGACACGGCGAGCCAGGCCTCCAGCCGCAGTGGGAATGAACAGTAGAGCCAAAACCCCCGCTCCCTGTGCCCTCCGAGGGATCCCAGGACACTGCCTGTGGGTTTCTCAAACACCTGTGAGCCTGGGGCCCACCTCAGAGCCTCTGTCTGCAGGGGAGGGTGGAGGGACACTGCCCAGGTAGAGAGAGGCACTCGCACATGTGGCGCACCCAGAGGTCCCCTCGCCGTGAGTTCCGAGCCCCAGCACAGCGGTCTCCCGGCTGTCAGCCACCTGCCCAGGACCGTCTGCCCTCTGGCCATTGCTGCTCCCAAGGCCAGCAGAGAGGCTGCTGGTGCAGGGCCGAGCCTCAGAGAGCAGGGAGCCCACGGCCTCCTCTGTCCCTCTGGCTTTAGGCTGTAGTCACAGAGGACAGCCCTGCCTGGGGAGATGACTGGACAGCAGTGGCCACGAGTGACCATGTCAGGCTGGGCACAGGACACACAGGGCACTGCTGACCCAGACACGTGTCTGAACTCCTAACCAGGCAGGAGCAGCCTTTACTTCCCCAAGGACCTTCTCACCCATTTTTCTGGGAACCAGTGGTCCTCTCAGTCTATCCTGCAGTAGAAGCCTGAGTGCAGAAGAACATTTTATCTGAAAAACAACCCCCATGTGCAAACCCACAGACGGCGACGATGCTGCCCGGTATTGAAGGGCACCCCGCGAGACGGGTCACAGCCCCCGCAGCACAGGCCCACGCCACAGCAGCAGCCTCACAGCCCCAGCCTCAGGGTGTGGCCCCAGAGGCCACCTTTTCAAGAGAAGATGGAAATTCCAATTTTCATGGGAAATCTCCCAATTTTTATTTTTTTTTAATTTTTGAGATGGAGTCTCCCTCTGTCGCCCAGGCTGGAGTGCAATGGCGTGATCTCTGCTCACTGCAACCTCCACCTCCAGATTCTCCTGCTTTAGCCTCCCAAGTAGCTGGGATTACAGGCATGCGCCACCACACCCGGCTAACTGTTGTATTTTTAGTAGAGATGGGGTTTCACCACGTTGGCTGGGCCGGTCTCCAACTCCTGACCTCAAGTGGTCTGCCCACCTCGGCCTCCCAAAGTGCTGGGATTATAGGCGTGAGCCACCGCACCCGGCTCCAATTTTTAAAAGCTAGATTGACTTAGGTTCCAACACCCTGTGGGGCAAACCACGTACCCAGCCATGCTCTAGGCTAACTCTGTGGCTTCTGCAGAGAGGGACTTGTGGGGAGGCCTCACCCCGTATTAGGGCACTGTGGGGAGGGCTCACCCCGTATTAGGGCGCTGTGGGGAGGCCTCACCCCGTATTAGGGCACTGTGGGGAGGCCTCACCCCGTATTAGGGCGCTGTGGGGAGGCCTCACCCCGTATTAGGGCCTGTGGGGAGGCCTCACCCCGTATTAGGGCACTGTGGGGAGGGCTCACCCCGTATTAGGGCGCTGTGGATCTAAGGAATATGAGTTTCTGCATCAAGAGGCCTGACAGCCACCAAGTGCTTGTCCTCCTTCCCAACAGGCAGGGCCCCTCCCAGTGTCCACCCCGGGGAGCCGGAGGAGCCCGGCTGTGCTGGGTGGGACCTGGGTGTTCCTCCTGGCTATGAAGAATGGGCACCTGGATTTTCACAACTGATTTAATCCCTATAGGAACTGGTAATGAAGAGATGCGTGATGTGATTCCTTCTGTTAAATTTTACACTGAAATTGCTGTTTCTATAGGTCAAAAATGGCCGAATGTTCACAATTTCATATGCTTCAATCTGGGTAAAGGTCCCTGTCCCTCTCCTGCCTCTCCTTCCATCCGCCGATGGCCAGACCCTTCTGCTTGGGGCAGGGGATGGGGCCAGACCCATCCCCTGCCCCTGGGCTGCCCACACAGGCCAGGCTGGACCCTCTGGGCCAGGCTGCCTGCCGTCGGAAAAGGTCGCCCGGGCTCCCTCAGCTCCAGCAAGAAAGGTTCCAGCAACTTGTTCAAACAGCCGTCCGGGCTGTGTCTGGAATATTCACGCCCCTTTACTGAGTGGTCTAAGTGGTCACTGAGTGGTCTAAGATAATGAAACGAAATCTAGACAGCCTCAAAGCTCAGAAGTCACACAAACCAGGCTCCAAAGCAACCAAGCTCAGGCTACCTCAGAAAGAATGCACAAGGGTTCAGATCCAGACCCGCCGCTGCTATCTACCATGGTGTAAGCATCTGCTTTGCCTGTGACGTAATTTACACCTGGGTGGCTGGTTTTCATTTTCATCCAGAAATCACTGCTTCCACCACATTCAGGCCCAGTAATGTCCATTCCCTGAGCCCCCGGGACACACAGTGTCTACCACGTGGCGACAAAGGCTGACTGGCTTTGGGACACCCATCACATTCACGCAGCCTGCACTGTCCCAGGCCAAGAGGCATGGGAGGAAGGTGCCAGTGTCAGAAGGACACTGGCGGAGGCGAGGAGGGTGCTGGTGGAGGGAGGAGGGCTCTGCTGGGGGGAGGAGGACTTTGGTGGAGGGAGGAGGGCTCTGGTGGAGGGAGGAGGGCTCTGGTGGGGGCAGGAGGGTGCTGGTGTGCCAGGGGGCACAGCCTGGCAGGAAGCCCGGCTGCGTGGGGGCATTCCTGGGTGAAGAGGACCTGGGTTGGGGACCCTCAGGGCAGAGAGAGGGAAACGGACAGCCACACCCACAGTATGAGCGAGGCCTGAGTCTGCGTCCAGGAGAGATCGGAGGTTTCTTCCTCAGCCACTGCCACTCTTCTCCCTTTTGGGGAACCATCAGCTAGGCTAATAGACCAGAGCTGGGAGTGGAGCAAGGGCCTGGGCCGAGCTGCCTCTGGTCATCGTGCCGGAATGCATCTTGTGTCTTACGAAACATCACACGGAGTCCTTTGCTAAGCTATGCAGAAGCCACAGGAGGAACAGCCACACCTCGAGGAGGGGCAGCTCCCAGTTCCAGGTTACTCAGAAAAGAAAAGGAGAAACAGCACAGCAGCTCCGGACCTCAAACCCACGCTGCCTGCAGCAAGGGTCTCTGCAAGCCCCAGCTCAGCTCCGGAACGGGGCTCTCAGGGCCAACACTGTATGTGCGTATTAACAAAACAAGGCCCAGACAGGGATGCGGACTTCTGCGGACACAGTTCACTGGCTACCACGTCTTCAACTGCCACACGGCATGCGGCCCTGACGGGACCTCTGAACGTCGCTTCATCACCTTCCTGAGTTCAGGGAAGGGAGGCTCTGCCGGTGGGCCAGCCGGCGCTTCCCGGGAAAGGGCGTCACACACACCTGCTGCCACGTGACACAGAAGACACTCTTTGGACACATTGTGCTTTTCTGCTGGGCCTTTTGGTTGGTAAGGGTGTGGCCAGTGTGCTGGTGTTCAGGACACAAGGTGCTGTGAACAGGGACAGCAAGTGGGGCTGGGTCTGCACCAGGAACAGAGCAAGGAGCTGCCTGACCCACGCTAAGGAGAGAAGCCAACACGGGGGCAGGTCTGGGAGGAAGACTGGGGAGCGCCCAGGCAGGGGACAGAGAAGCTCCCTTGTGCCTGCGCACAGAGACCCCGAGCGTCCTGGAGAGAAGGCCGGGGGAGGCTGTGCCTGTTTCCACCAAGTCCAGGGGTGGCGTTCACAGCCCGTAATACATGAAGGCAAAGCAGCGATGTCTAAGCCTTCTATGGTTCTGAAACTGCTGCTGGAATGAGATTTTCTCCCTGTCCTCTCTCCAAACACAGGCGACTCCCATACACTGTGTGTTTAGCACTTCAGAAGAATCAGTCCTTCCTCTGTCCAACAACCTACAGGCATCAGGATGCCAAAGCGTTCAGTGCGTCTGGGTGGTGCAGCCCTGTGGACACCAGACCAAGGACCCCAGGATGCTCTCGAGGCTCGAGGAAGGTAACACAACAGGGCCAGGGGGGCTCGTGGACTGGACGGGGCACCCAGAGAGAGGACAGAAGGGGCAAGAGAGGATGCAGGGGGCAAGAGGAGGAAAGGGCTGTCAGGTGCACGCCTTCCCCTGGCATCCCATCTCCCCCTCCCCACGGTCTGAAGGCAGCACTTGGTGGCAGCCGCCCCTTCCCCCTCTCCGCTACCTGCGGGAGCTGCAGAGCAGACAACAAACCTCAGCTCTGCCCACATGGACGGCTGCGCCAATGAGCCCAGTGAAGTGTGAGCCTGCCCTCCTGAGAGGGTCTCCGGGGTCCCAGCGGCCACTCCAGGAAACCCACCTGGACGGCTCCACCCCACACCCTGGACAGCCTCGGTACGTCAGGGCAGGGGCTGGAGCCGCACAGCCCTGCTCCGGAACAGGGACGCTCTGTGAAGAAGCCTCTGCTGTGCTCAGCAAACCGCAGGGCTCAACACCGGGGACCCGGCCTCGCCGCCCGCCACCGAAGCCAGGGACTGATACGCTCGCTCAGCCACACTCGGGCAGCAGAGATCCGGGGCAGGCCCGGGAGGGCCACGCAGGCTTCCGGGGGGACTGCCCTGTCTGTTTCCTGACTGGGTGCTGGTCACACGGGTGTGTTCAGTCTGTGGGGCCTCACTAAGTGGAACACGTACGAGGTGCGCTTCGCCCCATTTGTTACACGTCAACTGAAAACACGCCCAGCCCCTGAACCCCGACGGGCTCCTGAGTCTCTGGCCGCCGCCTGGCGCTGGACCGGGTGGCCGGGGTACTCACCTGCGGCAGCCCGTCCTCCCGCCTCCGGCTCTGGCTTGGGCGGTTGATGAAGGACCGCGTGGAGACTTTGTAGTGGTTCAGCAGGCAGACGATGACCACCACCATCACCGTGACCACCACGACGATGATGATGATTTGGGCGAACTCCAGCTCCGCTGCCACAGAAGAGGACAGTGGTTAGCCGCCTGGCCCTCCGACCCCAGCCCCTTCTCCAGGCACCGCCACCGCCCCAGCCTCTCACACACGTCTGGTCCTCAGGCCCGCAGGACACAGGACCACTGTCCCACCTGAGGGAAGGAGACGCCGTGGCACAGCTGGGAGGCTGCGCAAACCTGCCGTGGGGATCGGGAAGCCTCCCCAGACTGGTTATTTCTCCAACGTCACCGCTCCAGGAAAGCTAAACCCGTCTTTATGGTTGAGTGAAGTTTCTCAAGGCAGTTCCCCTAGGGAGCCGCACTTGAAAGGAAAAATCGACGTTGTCCCTTCCCTCCAAGGCTGTGGCTGTGCAGGTGAGTCAGGCGGCCTGCAGGCACCGCGCTTCAGGAGTGGCCAGGTCCGGCCTGGGTTTCCCACACCACCGCCCCAAAGATTCCCTAAATGCTACTGACACGCACTTCACACGTGAGTCCCAGCAACACAGTGACTTCCAGTCACAACACTGGGCCGGCAGCTGGAAGCAGGTGAGCCGGATCCCTGTTCTGGGACAGGAAGCAGGTCGAGGGCTCACGGGCGGCCTGGAGCCACGTTCGGACCTCACTCTCCAAGCAGGTCGAGGGCTCACGGGCGGCCTGGAGCCACGTTCGGACCTCACTCTCCCAGCCCACGGCTCTGCCACCTGCTTCACCCCTCGTCCCCCACGCTGGAAGGAAGTGACTGTCCGTGCAGTGACGTAAATTCAGAACAAGGGGCTCGGGGATGCTATGAGGAACACAGTGCAGGAATCGGGGGGTGGTGTGGTGGACAAAAGGCAGGAGGAAGAGGAGAGGACGCCATCAGCTGTGCTGCCCTGGGCTCACAGCACACACACACACGCACACACACGCATGCACACACACGTGCTGCAGCAGGGCTCAGGCCCCGGCCGGCGGGGAGGCGTATCTGTCAGCGTATCCGCTCATACGCGCATCTGCTGGTCACACCCTGGGAACCGAGGGTGAGGCTGGACGAGGGGTTCTCTGGACCCCCACACCCTAGGGACTGAGGGTGGGAGCGGAGGGCAGTGGGGGACTGAGGGTGGGAGCGGAGGGCAGTGGGGGACTGAGGGTGGGAGCGGAGGGCAGTGGGGGACTGAGGGTGGGAGCAGAGGGCAGTGGGGCCCTGGGGCCGACAGGAGAGGGGCTGGCGCCTTGAGAATGGAGAGCGGAGTGTGTGGGAGGCTGCTGGCTGAGCTGTGCACAGAGAGCAGACGGACCTGCCAAGTGCCCCCTCCCCCCAGGCAGGGAGAGGCCAGGCTGGCGGGAACACGCCCCTTCCCTGCGGACACGGACAAGGCCATGCTCTGAGCAGCTCCTGGGGCTGGCAGTCAGTGAGGCCTGCGGGCCCCGCCCCGGCCAAGGGGGTGCTGTTGCTCTGGGGCTCCCTGTGGCCTGTCGGCTAAGTGGTGGGGGCTCTAGGGGTCTGGTGCCCAGCCCAGCCTTGGGGTTTGAGCGTCTACTTCCTATGGGGAGGGAACGTCCATCGGAACTGCCACACTTACGTGCACCCCCCACCACCCCAACACACACACAAAAGTCTCCCCAGGGCTTATCAACGGTTTTCACGCTGGGGGCTTTCAGGAAAAGACTGAAATCGCGCCGAGTCTTCGAGCGGGTGCTTGGGCCCTTTGCAATAGGGTTCCAACAGAAGTGTGACCTGATTTCTGCTCACAGGCCATGGGAAGTATGACATGCTTGTTTACCTAGGAACAGTCTTCGACTCTGCCCCTGCCCATAACCTTCCTGTGTCTGGACATTCTGGCCTGGACCCTGTGTTTCTCAGGACCCTACCCCCACACACCATGTGACGTCTCCCAGGCTGAGTCTGGAGCCCCAACTTTGCCCCTCCTGACACGGGAGGTAGCTCAGTGGCTTCACTGGTACAAGGTGAACTGATGAGCGACTCAGCACCCCCAGGCTGAGAGAAGGGGCTGGGATGTGTGGCCCCGGTTGGCTCTGCCCGGCTGCACGGGTGTGCTCTCCGTGAGGACAGCCACGCCAACAGCATGCGGCCTGCACTGGCTGCAGAGTGCCCGAGTGTGCCTCCAGCAGCCCTGAGGGTCTGTGCAGGGGGTCAGCCACCAGCCCAAGGCGATCGCCCAGGGACAAGCATGAAAGGAAGCAGAGACTCCGCTCAGGACAAAGGCAGCGAACACAGTGGTGAGGGCTGAACCCCAAAGTCGAAGACTGTTCCTAGGTAAACAAGCACGTCACACTTCCCATGGCCCGTGAGCAGAAACAAGGTCACACTTCTGTTGTGACCCGAATGACGCCTTCTTTTACCAACTCTTATTTTTATTTTGTGGTTAAATAGCGGAGTATTCACAAATTAAAGCACGCCCTAGGATTTCCGAATGTTTTCTTTTCAAGAGAACTTCACGGCTTTATGGACACGGATACAGAGGAAAGTCACGGTGACAGGGACGGATCAGCACGAAGTCGTGTGACGAGTCAGCGCTTCTCTTGGAGGACGTCCTCTGTTCTCGACTATGGAAAGCTATGCAGATAAGCACTCGCAGCAAAGCAAATCAAATTATGTGTTCACAAGTCTCCGGGCATTTTTTACATATTTGTGTTTCATTTGAAAAGGATTTTTATTATAAAAATCATGAAAACTTCTTGAAAATTTAAATCACATAGAAGGAAACAGTGCAGTGTAAAGTCTCCCTTCCCAACCCACAGCGCCCGACTCCACCAAGCCTTACTCCGTCCCCGGGGACAGCCCAGGCCTGTTTCCTCTTTTCAGCTATTGGAATCGATGTGCAAATATCTTGTCTGCGTCTTTTCACTTAACACATCACAGATCTCTTTAAACGAGCACACACGTGCACTGGCCTCGCTCTGCGGCGGCTGTCACACACACGCGTGCACTGGCCTCACTCTGCGGCGGCTGTCTGTCACACACACGCGTGCACTGGCCTCGCTCTGCGGCGGCTGTCACACACGCACACGCACTGGCCTCACTCTGCAGCGGCTGTCTGTCACACGCGTGCACTGGCCTCGCTCTGCGGCGGCTGTCTGTCACACACGCACACGCACTGGCCTCGCTCTGCGGCGGCTGTCTGTCACACGCGTGCACTGGCCTCGCTCTGCGGCGGCTGTCTGTCACACACGCACACGCACTGGCCTCGCTCTGCGGCGGCTGTCTGTCACACACACACACGCACTGGCCTCGCTCTGCGGCGGCTGTCTGTCACACACACACGCACTGGCCTCGCTCTGCGGCGGCTGTCTGTCACACACACACGCGCACTGGCCTCGCTCTGCGGCGGCTGTCTGTCACACACACACGCACTGGCCTCGCTCTGCGGCGGCTGCCTGTCACACACACGCGCACTGGCCTCGCTCTGCGGCGGCTGTCTGTCACACACGCACTGGCCTCGCTCTGCGGCGGCTGTCTGTCACACACACACACACTGGCCTCGCTCTGCGGCGGCTGTCTGTCACACACACACACGCACTGGCCTCGCTCTGCGGCGGCTGTCTGTCACACACACACGCGCACTGGCACTGGCCTCGCTCTGCAGCGGCTGTCTGTCACACGCGTGCACTGGCCTCGCTCTGCGGCGGCTGTCTGTCACACACGCACACGCACTGGCCTCGCTCTGCAGCGGCTGTCTGTCACACACGCACTGGCCTCGCTCTGCGGCGGCTGTCTGTCACACACGCACACGCACTGGCCTCACTCTGCGGCGGCTCTGCGGCGGCTGTCTGTCACACGCGTGCACTGGCCTCGCTCTGCGGCGGCTGTCTGTCACACGCGTGCACTGGCCTCGCTCTGCGGCGGCTGTCTGTCACACACGTGCACTGGCCTCACTCTGCGGCAGCTGTCTGTCACACACACGCGTGCACTGGCCTCACTCTGCGGCGGCTGTCTGTCACACACGCGCACTGGCCTCGCTCTGCGGCGGCTGCCTGTCACACACACGCACACGCACTGGCCTCGCTCTGCGGCGGCTGTCTGTCACACACGCACACGCACTGGCCTCGCTCTGCGGCGGCTGTCTGTCACACACACGCGTGCACTGGCCTCGCTCTGCGGCGGCTGTCTGTCACACACACGCGTGCACTGGCCTCGCTCTGCGGCGGCTGTCTGTCACAGAGTACAAACATACGGGAATTTGCCTTCCCAGCTGGTGGCTGTTCAGGTGGCTTTTTTCTTTTTTCTCTTAGAACCACAAAGTTGCACGTGTATATGTGCAAGTGTGTGGCTGGCACACATTTGTCGGCATACTTGTAGGAAAGACTCCTAAAAGTGACGTTTCTGGGCCCAGGGCATAATCACTTTTAATCCTCGTGGCTACTGAGAACCTGCCTTTTGTAAAGGCTGCATTAGTCCGGCTATCCCAGTAAGAAGGCGTGTTCCCCATTCCCTCATTCACCCTGGAGACTCACCCTTTCAATCGGCGACAATCTGATGGGCAAAAATAGGTATCTCTTTTTAATTTGTATTTCTCCAATGACTGGTAATTTCAGATCTTTCCCTATGGTTATGGTAATCTGTGTTTCTCTTTTCCATAATCATATTAGTGTATTTACAGTTTTCTCATTTATTTCTTACGTATTGATGTGAAATCTTTACACACTATGGTTTCGCATCTTTGTCTGTTACGTGTTGCAACTATTTCCCCCAGCCAGTCATTTCTTTAAACTTCACCATGAGTTTCTCTATAGATGCTATACATTTTTATGCCATCAAATACTTTTTCCTTTATGGCTTCTAAACTTCCTGTTTGATTGGGAAGGTCCTCTTTAATATTCTAAACATACTTTTTTCCTAAGATTTTTGGAGTTTGTATTTTATGTTAGATCTTTATTTGCTCTGGATTTTATTCCTCTTTTGGTCTGACACAGCACATGGAACATATGATATTGACTGAAAGGTGTCCATTTTCTGAACTAAGGTCTGATTTAAAAATTCAGGCAAGGATGAGAAAGATCTCAGTTGTATGAAACAAAGCATGGAATTACTCTCTGTAAAAGTAAACTCCAGGCCAGGCGTGTCTGGAATCTCAGCACTTTGGGAGACCGAGGCGGGGGAACTGTTTAAGGCCAGGAGTTCAAGATCAGCCTGGGCAATATAGCGAGACCCTGTCTCTTTTATTAAAAAAAAAAAAAAAAAGTAAAGCCCTCACCATCTTTCTTTTTAAGGGCACTGCCTTCCTAGAAACCTGCCACACACGTGGGTACTGCCCTGCCCTGCTGGGACATCTGCCCCATGCTGTTGCCCCGAGGCTGATTCAAACATGAGTCATGCCCGGCCGTGGCAGGTACGTCTACAGCACACGGGTGAGCGGTGGCCTGGGGGTTCGTGGGCACCCTAGTGGCACGGTGCCTGGGGCAGGTCAAGGTCGCGGGCGTACTCCGAGGCGGTGGGAGCAGGAACACTGTCCCCAGGACCCTGCGAACAAAATCAAGTGGCCCCGAGGGGAGCCTTGGGGTGGCAGCAGCCTGATGAGGGCCTGAGCCACGAGGGCACTCAGTCCTGGGCACAAGAGGCAGGTCTTCCTGCAGGCAACAAAGACCCAGGGACACCCGGGTCCCGGAGCCACCATCCTCACAGCCCGGTCATCTCACTGCAGCAGCCCGGTCCCTGGCTGCGGGCGAGGGTGGCCCGTGTGCTCCTGAAGCCTCCCCGAGGGCGTCAGGGCCTAGTGCGGGGCCCACACGTGCAGCAGAGCCTGCTCTGGGAACTCTGGGCAAAACCCATACGTGGAAACAGATCCCTTCTCGCCTTTAAGTCACGGGAGCCAGAACACTAGCAGCCGAAAAGATGAGCATCGTACTCTCTTCAGGGCCACACGCCGCCCCGGGCAGGGCCCAGGAGAGCCTCAAAGTGAAAACTGCAGTCAACAGGTTCTTGGAAACGTGTGTGAGGATTCCCAGACCCTGACCCTGCACTGAGATGCCCTCTCCCTCCGTGACCCTCTTCGAGCTCACGAGGGGTGTGTGGCGACCCCCCCACCTGTCCTCCCACATCCTCTCAGTCATTTTAAACAGGAGAATTCCACCAAACGCCCACAGCCCGTTTTCACGTGGCAGGGCAGGGGGTGGCTGTGGTGCGTGGAGCATCCACAGAAAGGAAAGATGCCTGGGGTTTGGGTTTGTTTCTAGGGGTGGGGAAGGAGTCGGCTGGAAAGGGGAGGCTAAGAAGAGAATGAATTCTGGAAGAGCTGCTGAAACAGAAAGTTTGGAAAAATAAAACCCGCAGGAGTAGCGGCATTCTTAGAAAATTAATCGGATGCTTTGGGGCTTCCAGGACGCTACGCGCCTAACACGGATTCTGGCACAGACGACGGGTCGAGTTTCCTTGTTCAATAGCAACGGATGTCCACAGAAGAGGGCCAGAAAGCAGGGCACGCAAGGAAAGAAGTTGAGGCCGAAGTCAAATGTTCACATCCCCCTTCTACGGCGCCGTAGTTCATGACGCTGTAACAGATGAGTCACTGCAATGGAAATACCGGTTACTTTTTAATACATCTAGCCTAAAACTTACAGGAAGGCATCCTAGCACCTTCTTTTATTGTTGTGCAGCAGTGACAGTGACGACAGTGATGATGGCATCTCTCTATTTTTACGGAAACCTCTCCAGGAAATCCCAGGCTGCACGCTGGAGAATTACGGGAACAGAAGCAGCGGTGTGAAGTCTGTGGGTCCCTCCCTGGTTCAATGAGGAGCTGAACTGAATCATACCAGAGGCACGAGTGTCTGCGCTATTTTTAAAGAGCTCCGGGGAAGTGCGGTTGTCCCACCTTAGGCTCCTCGTATAACACTCATTTCTATTTGTGGGATGGTTAACACCGTCTTCCATGTGGTCGTTCTGCCACTGATATATTATCCTTCAGCGAAGTCCTATTTCTACAGTTTACTTATTTTTAAGCTCCAGATGTGTAACGTGTGCCCTCAAAGACCCTATCATGGGGCAGGGGGCACGGTCCGGACCCCGCACGCGTTCCTCTCTTTCCCCAGGCCACGTACACACCTTGGCAAGAATCCAGAAAACGTTCCACGCAGAACATTGTGACGTCACAGAAACGGCCACCCCTTGGCCACGAAGCCCTCGCCCCACCCTGCGTGGTCACTTCCTACTCCACCGACCGCAGCTCCCCCCGCGCGCCCCGACGTGCTGGCCTCTCCCGGAGCCCCAAGCCTGCCGCAGAGCCTCCCCTCCAGGCGGCCGCTTCCCCTGCACGCTCCTGCCGCGCCGCTGGGACACACCGGCCCTCCCACAGGTGGCCGGGCCTGCCTGGCTTCTGCACAGTGAACTTGTCGCGTTTCCTTCCTGTCTCTGTCCTCCCCAGCGGAGACGGGCGTGGTGGCGAGATGACAGCCTCAGCGGTGTCTTACTCTTTATTTATGGCTCCGTGACACGTTCAAAGTGCTGAATGTTCCTAAAGGCTGGTAAATTCTTTCCAAGATCCTCCAGAGACTGGGCGGTGGTGGTGGCAGGAAGACGGGTGGGGGCAGGAGTTGGAATCTACTTAGACTATAATTGCCTCAAGTTTGTGAACTGTTAGTATAAAAATACTCTTGGAGATTTTAATGGTTGAATGAAGATTCACACTCATTAAACACCATGGTTGAGGGGGAAAATTCAGCCTGTGTTACAAGAATGACTTCACAGCTTGAAGTACAGAAGCACAACAATAAGAGCTATCATCATACTGATTACATGATATATTTTGAATTTTATTTTCCTTGGAGGTGGGTTGGCTGCTCCACCGTACGGTACAACAAGTGGAACGGAACGGAAAAAAGCCACGTGACAGAAATACCCAGGTTTTGGTGTCACCTGCTGGCTTTACCTTCCTTTAAAAGCTCTTTCCTAAGCCCCGATGACGGGTTCACTGCCTTTGGGGCCTTCCTGTGCAGCTCGGAACCCTGTGGCAGCACTTACGACTGCCTTGGTGGTATCCATTCTCTGGCCTTCTTCCTCTACAGAGCGAGCCCTGGGTCAATGCCTTGTTCATCAGTGTCTCAGCAGGTAGCGTGCGCCTGGCGCGAAGCTGGCGTTCCCCACTGAGAAGCTGGTGGAGAAGCCCTAAGAAGGAAGGGACCCCAAAGGCCTGAGCTGCTTCAACAGCGTCTAGCACAGGCACGTGTTCTCCCAAACCCTTCCCGGGGCCTTCAGTGCTGCTGGAGTTTTGCTAAAGGTTTTCATCTTTTGCAACAATTATTCAAAAAATGCTACTAGTCTAAGAGGGTGTGCTCTGTCACTGAGAAAAGAGCCTCCTGGTTGCGCGGAGCGGCTGTTTGCAGCCATGTATTTATGGACAACATTTGCATGATAATAGAATGAGGAAACGGTCCCTATGATCCGCAGGAGGAGAGATGACCGTGGAGGCAGGTGTGGCCCCGGCACCGCGACCTGATACCGGCCCAAGGCCAGGTGCCCCGGACGGCACGGGCAGGCGGGCAGCCGCCAGCAACGCCTGGACGGACCAGGGAATCCCTCGAATGCAGACTCCACGAGCCCGTCCGGCTGCAGCGGCATCTCCTCGCTTTACGAAAGCCCCAGCGTTCATCCGCTACAATTATTTCTCACCACGCATTTTAGAACCTAGAGTTTCATGATCTCTTCAGAAAGAAATTTACCTAAATATGTTCCGATCAAAGATGACTGACAGGATTTTCTAAAAACTCAGCAGAGGAGTAAGAGCAATTATAAACCTTTTAAAAGTCTATCCCTCCGCCGTGCTATAAATGGAAAAAAATACATACATAAGCCATAATTCCCCCTATAGGATTCATTTAAAATCCACCCTCACCTCCACCTCCACATTATTAATTTAGGAAAGTGCATCAGAAAAAAAAACACAGCTGCACATGGAATGGAACCTTCATTTCCACAGGGGAGAGAGCTGGCTTCGGAGGGTCTCATCCCACAGCCAGTCTGTCTGTCTCTCACTTTCTCTGGCTCTCTCTCTCCCTCTCTCTCTCCCCCTCTCAGAGTCACAGTTCTCCTTCCTAATAGCTGCTGTCACTAGGTGGATGACCTAAGAAAGTGTTCAATGAACCAGCCACAACCTGATAAATACCTTTTCTTTAAAATGCAGTTTTCAGCTCCTGAAGGTCAAGAAAAAGGACCTATCAACAAGCAGCGAACTTCCAGGGGAGGTCTCAGCCTCATACACGGACATTTGAAAAAAACAAAACTCCAAAGCAACAACCTGTGCGCTCATGCATAACCCCTCCAACAGGAACAAACGATTCCAGGCTTGAAAGAGGAGGAAAAAGCATCTTCCTAAAGGGAGTCCCACCCTGAAATGTTCCGAGTTGACAGACCCCTGTTAGGGAGAAACAAACTTCTTGAGAAAGAGCTTCTCCTCTTCTCAACTCTGTCCTCAGACCAAACTCCAACAAGAACCACAGCAAACCCGAAAGAGCATGCATCATCCACAGCAGTTCTTGGGAAATGTACCTTTTTTTAAGAACAGGTCTTTGAACTGAGCCTCCTTCAGTGTGCTGTTGTTCGGGTGGTCACTGGACATAATCAGGTCCTCTGCAAGTGGGAGTTCAACTGTGACGCAGCCCCCCACGTTCAAAGCATCCCTCCGGCTGCCGGCAATCTCCTCTCCAGGCAGCTCCGAGCTGCAGTTATAGCTGGCGTGGGGTGTGGGAGAGTGTGTGAGCGTGGAGGGGGGGGTGCTTCTGTCTGCCTCGTTCACTCTCTCTCTACTGTATCAGCAGGGCCCACCCCAGGTGCTAGACTCAAATGCTGTGGCTCCGACCGCAGACTGTGGCTACCAATTATCAACTGCCATCACCAGAAACCAGCAGCTCTGCGGCAGGAAGCCGGCGTGTCACCGAGCAGAGGAAGTCCAGGGTCTCCGATCCTGAGACCGGCTGTACACCTAGGGCAGTGCCGTTTACAGCAGCGTCTATCGGTGAGCAGTCCGCACGTCTCGGGTTTGGCCTGACACCTGGACGTGTCACACACACAGGCAAGCAGGACGCAGCCAGACGGCTCATCTTGTCTCACTGTGCTCAATAATCTTTTCAACAGGCAAATGTCAAACCAGTCCAGACAGAAAGGAGGAACTCGGCAAGTCTCACACAATACTCCTTCCCTCCATCTCTGCTGGAAGCTTTCGGCGCAGAAGGACTGGAGAGCGCGCTGACCAAGGCAGGAGCCGCGACAGGCAGGACACTCACGTTAGGCTCGCGTGCTTCTCCCCTGCAGCTCCGCTCCCAGAGCGTGCTCGCCCGGCTGGGAGCACCCACAGCGCCCCTCAGGCTGCCAGCCAGGCTGGGGCTGTCCTCTCCTGGTGCTCCCTCTCCACGTCCTCTAACTGATGGGAGCAGCTCCCAGCGGCTCTTGCCGCCGAGCTCTGTACTGGCAAGGGGTGAGGTCCTAACCACGGCAGGAAACAGTGTGTGCTCCTCTCCCTCCGGTCCTCTCTTCCCTCTCGACTCTCCCATTCCTTCCCTCTCCCTCTGCCTCACATCACTATTCCCCATGTACGGCAGCACACACAGACACGCCAGAGACTCCTTCAGAGTCAGGACGCTCAGTGTTCCTAGGCAGTTTTAGTTTATAAGGATCAGGAATTAGAGAACAGAATCCCAGGCAATTCAGACATGAAAGCAGACACGCGTCTCAGGAGGCCGCCTTCTCCGGGTTCATTTTGTTCGAGCGCAGTCTCTTTTCCCCGAGGTCTAAACAGTGTGTTTCATCTGAGTGTAAAACATCTCCCGTGCGTTCGGATGCCCCCAGGCTGTGTGAAGAAAATTCAGGGCAGGCTGCGAGTCTGTCGCAGTTTTCAGAGACAATCACGGGGTGGCCGGCCGGAGCGGCGGAAAGGGCAGCCTGCCATGGTAACGCTGCAAATAACCCCCGCCACAAGCAGTGCCCGGGGCCCAGAATAGCCTTTGTTTCTCCTTATTTAGGGTAAATAGGAATGACATGTGGGCCGTAACAATAGTGTTGGCTGTAGGAGGAGTTGTCAAAGCAGAACTAAACTCTGTTGGTTACTACCAGCCTTAGCAGCCAGGACAGTGACGTCAGCAGCCAGCTCTGCTGTCAGCCCGGGCGCGTCACCCGGGGCACGACCGCAGGGACCGGGCCCTGATGTCACCGCGGGCTCCTCCAGGTGGCCAGAAGACGTCACTTTCTCACGCTCTCATTTTTGGGGGCAGCGGCAGAAAAGCAACAGAAGAGCCACCCAGGAGAGTTTCCAGAAGCTTCACGTGGATAAAAGGAAACCAGAGAATTTCAGCAAAGGAAAGTGACCGTTTGTTAATATCCAGCCGCCGGGGAAATCCGGATGGTGTGATTCTTCCTGAGCGATTTCCATATTAAAAACGAAACTCCCCTTCCTGTGCCAGACTTCCCCTGACTTCTCAGAGTCACCGCGGGCTGAACAAGAGGGAGGCGCCCTCGGGAAGAGGCAGCTTCAGAAAGAATTAGAAGCTGCGGCCACTTCAAGCCGCCCCTCCTTGTGCCACCTGGGCCGGCACTTCCTCGTCAGGCTGTCACCACAGGCTCGCCCTCAAGCCAGAGCCTCAGCGAGGAGCGCTGTAGGCCACTGCACCTGTCTGTTTCTTAAAATTAGGGCTTTGTGGGGCAGCACGGTGGCTCAAGCCTGTAATCCCAGCACTTTGGGAGGCCGAGGTGGGCGGATCACCTGAGGTCAGGAGTTCAAGACCAGCCTGGCCAACATGGTAAAACCCTGTCTCTGCTAAAAATACAAAATCAGCTGGCGTGGTGGCACACGCCTGTGATCCCAGCTACTCGGGAGGCTCAGGCAGGAGAATCGCTTCAACCTGGGAGCGGAGGTTGCCGTAAGCCGAGATCGGGCCACTTCACTCCAGCCTGGGTGACAAAGTGAGACTCCGTCTCAAAAAAACCAAAAAACAAAAAAACCAAATTGGGCTTTGGTGAATTTCATGGAACTAGAAAAGTTCTTCTGTCCTTTGCTAATGGACATATTTACATTTTGAAATGGTTACAGATAGCCCGCTTTGGGGTTTAACATGATGTAAAATGAATACTTCATATATAAAAAAAGAAAATCAACTTTTTTTTCATTTAACGGTCATAGGCTATTCCCTAGTGTTTCAGCACTTACTGTGTCTGACTGGCTTCCCTGTCACTGGGCATCTTGGCCATGGGAGCCAATCTTTTCTCTTCTCTTCTCTGTTTTCTTTTCTTTTCTTTTTGATGCAGTCTCGCTGTGTTGCCCAGGCGGGAGTGCAGTGGCGAAATCTCTGATCACTGCAACCTCTGCATCCTGGGTTCAAGTGATTCTCCCACCTTAGCTTCCCGAGTAGCCAGGATTACAGGCATGCGCCAACATGCTGGGCTCATTTTTGTAATTTTTGTATTTTTAGTAGAGACGGGGTTTTACCATGTTGGCCAGGCTGTCCTGGAACTCCCAACCTCAAGTGACCCACCTGCTTCGGCCTTTCAGAGTCCTGGGATTATAGGTGTGGCCACCGCACCCGGCCATGGACCCATCTTAACTGAGTCCTGGGATTATAGGTGTGGCCACCGCACCCGGCCATGGACCCATCTTAACTAAGCTCCTTGTCCAGTCAGTTTAATGTTCTCACAGTTCAACCTGTTTAAAAACCACTTTCAAAACTTTTGACTTTATGAATGCAAGTTTACTTTGAAAATGTTGCCCACACTTCACACACACACACACGCACACGCATACTGAGTGTGGGTGTCTGGGGACATGGTACAGAGTCCGTCTTGGGATGTGTGGCTTTAACACAGGCACGGGGCCTCTCCCAGCCCCTGCTGAGGGGCTGTCTGGGCGGACGCACTAGGTCGTGCTCGTAAGTTTAGTTTTTACTCCCTTTTAAGCACCACCTGAAGACGGTGCTTCGGAAAGGAAGTTCACAGGTCAAGGCGTGACTCAGGGTTCGTGCCCTGACACACAGCTCGCCCTGGCTGCACCACAGCGTGCGCATCACTGGGGATTTTAGCTGAGGGCTGCCAATATTTCTTTTCCCTTCATTCAGAGAAAATGGCAGCACACGTAGCAGAAGGGCATGGGAGAGGGAAGCCTGTGGAACACACGAATATGAAAGTGTAGAAACATTTGCATTCGGAACTCCCTCCTCCCTCATCATCTTTACATCGCCTCTTTCACATAAGCACTCTGACGGCTATCACTTCTAATACGAGTTTTGTGCAGTCACCACACGTCTCAGAGCTTAGGAGGCATCTGTGTGTGCGGTAGGGGCCTGGAAAATGGAGCAAGGCAGGGATGCCAAAGACACACCACAAGAGTTTGTCGGCAGCAACAAGGACTTGAGACTCTAACGACATCTCCTCAAGGTTCCCTCTATAAAGCTGTTCAGTTCATTAATCCATCTGACAAATGTTTACCCGAGCGCTTACAGTCCTCAGCAGGAAACGCACTGGACCCCCAGTGAAGTCCCACAGGTAAGTGTTTCTGTGTGGCTGAGTCGTCGTAGTTCCATCTGCAGGTAGGTGCTTATTTAAGGAGCCAAACGGGCTCTAAGGATCGGCTACCAGTTGAGACCTGCATAGGACAAGCCAAGGCGGCTGGAACCTTGCTGTCCTGAATGGCCAAAAAGAGGCAGCCTGGGCCAGGGATTTGACCGGAGGCGATCAGCTGAGACTTCAGCTCTCATTCAGCCACTCCAAGTATGGTAAGTTAGTAGCTCAGGGGCTACTCAGAGCTCATTAGCTTCAGGAAAAAATTTCTGAGCAGTAAAGGGAGGCTCTGCTCTCCCAGAATCTGTATCTGTCATCTCCAAGCCCAGTTAGCATCTCACCCAGCCCCGGTCCCAGCCCCAGCTCTCACCCCCAGGGCTTCTCGGTGTGCCCCGCTGCCTCCCCCTCCACAGCCTGCCCTGCCGCGGGTGCTTCACTCACAACAGAAATTCTCGCAGGAAAAGATCACTTGAAGAATTAGAAATAGTGGTCACCATTCTAACTGGAGTGAGATGGTATCTCATTGTGGTTTTGATCTGCATTTCTCTAACGACCAGTGATGATGAGCTTTTTTTCTTTTCATAGGTTTGTTGGTTGCATAAATGTCTTCTTTTGAGAAGTGTCTGTTCATATCCTTCACCCACTTTTTGATGGGGTTGTTTTTTCTTTTACACTGTTGGTGGGAGTGTAAATTAGTTCAGCCATTGTGGAAGACAGTGTGGTGATTCCTCAAGGATCTAGAACCAGAAATACCATTTGGCCCAGCAATCCCATTACTGGGCATATACCCAAAGGATTATAAATCATTCTACTGTAAAGACACATACACACATATGTTTATTGCAACATTATTTACAATAGCAAAGACTTGGAAAGAACCCGAACGCCCATCAATGATAGACCGGGTAAAGAAAATGTGGCACAGATACACCATGGAATACTATGCAGCCATAAAAAAGAACGAGTTCATGTCCTTTGCATGGACATGGATGAAGCTGGAAACCATCATCCTCAGCAAACTAACACAGGAACAGAAAACCAAACACCGCACGTTGTCACTCATAAGTGGGAGCTGAACAATGAGAACACATGGACACAGGGCGGGGAACATCACACAGTGGGGCCTGTTGGGGGCTGGGGAGAGCAAGGGGAGGAAGAGCAATAGGACAAATAGCTAATGCATACAGGGCTTAAAACCTAGATGACGGGTTGACAGGTGCAGCAAACCACCATGGCACATGTAAACCTACGTAACAGACCTGCACATTCAGCACATGTATCCCAGAACTTAAAGTAAAATAAAATAAGAAGAAAAAAAGAATTAGAAATACCTTTTCAATGGTTCTACAGCATAAAGTTAGCATCTGTAAACGTTCATAACGATTTACTGCTATATGCAAGGCACTTTCAAGCACTGTGTATCTCTTATCTTCACGCCAACCCTGTGAGGCACATTTTTCTTGTTACCACTTTACAGATGGGGAAACTGAGGCCCAGAGAGGGTGAGTCTTTCGTCCCAGGGCAAACTGCTGGTGAGAGGCCAGCGAGGAGTTGGAGCCGGGGCAGTCTGACTCTGACACTCCCAGCCAGCCACCCAAGCTTTGTTTCGCTCAGTGGCCAGCAAGCTCAGAATTAATTAGCCAACAGTCAACAAATGGAGCGACCACTGAAACTAACCAAAGGATGCCAGGGGACTGATGATGACTTACTTTGATTTTTTTTAGCCTGATTACCCAACTTTTTTTGGGCACTAAGGGGATGTGTTAACTTGCAAATCCACGTTAAAAGATTCTACATCTCCACATGTTGCCATGAGGCTCTTGGAGCCATTTTACTGTCTCGTCTGCCTGTTAATGCAGCTCTTGTTAAGAGTCGATGGCTCAGTCCATTACAAATTCCCATTCTTTGAGGTTTACGACTATGCTACAACATTGTGCTCTGAGATGAAATTTTCCACATAAAAATTAATCCCTGGAATTTGGCTTTTAGAAAACAAAACAGTACATTTTAAGTCAGTTTGTTATGCTTAAAGTCATGAATGAGGATTTTAAAAGAACACAAACTTTATGTTCCTACAGACTGAAAACACGGAAATAGTGTGACATTTGTGGACATCAGCCTGTAGCATGGAATAATCTCCTCGTGTATCCCTGGAGCTTAGAAAAACGCAGCGCAGACGCCTTTTCGTAGAAACGCAAACGCTCTGCGTGCTCCCACCAGCCCTGTCGCCCGGTAGGAATGTTCGCAAATATAAAAGTGTGTGACCCCATGGAGCCAGCAAGCCAATAATGCGGATTACAAATGTATTAAATAAATTCGTTCAGATTCAACAGCTTTAAAACAGCTTCCTAATATGCAAAAAGACTCCCTGAATTAGCAGATTTGGGTTTATCTTACACATTATCTATGCTACTAAGCGGAAGAAAAGGAATTACTTAGGAGTCCACACTTACGGTGGTATAGATTTTCATAATGGCTAAGCTACCTCCTACTAAGTGGCTTTGTGCCTGAAACTGCAGTGACCTTCCAAGCCCCAGAAGAAAATGGGAGGCAGTATAAAGATTTATAGAGGTCAGTTAGAACCAACTTTGGGTTCCAACCCTGCCACCTGCGTTAGGTCGAGTGGGTGCGTTTCCTCATCTGTAAAATGAGGCAGAGAATGCTTACTTCACAGGGTGGTCAGGAGGATGAAATAACACAACCAACCCTCGCTCCTCAGAGTGGTCCACACACCAGCGGCGGCAGCATCCCCGGGAGCTTCTCCGAAACGCGATCTCGAGCCCCGCCCAGACCTGCGGAACCGGAGCCTGTGTGTGGACCAGATGCCCGGGCGAGTGATGGGCACGTCAGCGTTTCAGAAGCCCCTGCTCTGCTCCAGACACCTCACCTGGATGAAATGACCCAGCCGGGGGCTTGGAGAAATCGTGGCGCAAGCAAACCACCACGAGGATGTGAGGAGGCGCTTGTTTTTGCTAATTGTCATTCAGCAATGATTTCAAAGAACAGCACTCAACCAACAAGAGTCTGTGTGCAGGTAAAGCAGTAACACTGCCCTCCTGGGCACAGCAGGTGCTTCCTGCCGTCCTCTGCTCTGTGCCAGTGGGTCATATTGATCCACTCACGCCTTTCAGGAGAACCAGCAGGGGTTAACAGCATCAGCGAGGTCCCCAAGAATGGCCAAGCTAGCCGGCTTCTGTTAACAGAGGCTCTGGGCTGGACACAGT